CCCCCCCAATTCCAAGAACATGCAGATGGGAGACTCCTGGGCAACTGGAGTGGGAGGGTGTAAGGGATTGCTAAGGCAGAATAAAGGCAACCAGCTCCTACCTGGGCTAATGCCACACCTGCCACACAGCCTAGCTGGGAAGCCAGGCAACTCCAACTTCAGCTGCCCACTTGGTACGGGGGGGGGGGGGGCGCAGGGTGTTGTTCAGGGAGCTGCAAAGGAATGCCGGTTCCACCTCCACCTCAGCAGGCCACAGGGAGCTCTTCTCTCCTCATCCACCTCTTGGTTCCTCCTAATCCTCTGCCAAAAGGTCTCACCCACAGAGCCCCTTGGCAGAGGCCTCCAAGGCCAGCCTCTCTGCTCCCATTGTTGCCCTGCAAAGCCCCACTGCCTGGGTGCCACACTTTGCTGACCTTCCAAAGACCTGTGAGCATCCTGGAGTGTTCTGAGCCCAGCAGCTCCGTGGATACACCTGACCCCAAGTACAACTGCCAACCTTGACCTAGGCCTGACCTTCCAATCTGCCCCCAAGCCTCCATGGATTCCTCAATTTATGCCTACTCGACTCCTGGCAGGACCCAGACCCCTGGCTTCTTTGTAACCTCTTTCTCGCCTCAACACATACAGTGAAGGCTCCATATAGCTCCGGGAGTCTGCGCTCTCAGGCACAGCATCCTGTCTGGAACCCTTCCCAGCCTTCCCTGACTCTAGGAGCTACCGGGAGCCATCAGGTTTGGGCAGGTGGCCATAGGGTACTCCCATCCAGGCTCCAGGCTTCTGCCCTTCTGACCTGAGGGGATCTTTCTTTTCTAGTTTCCTGAACACCCAGAATTCCTCTGAATAAAGGATGCCGCCTTTACCCTTACAGTCAGGCTGGGGCATGCACAAGAACGGCAGGTAAGGATTGCCACCACCTCTGTGTATGGGATGAAAGAACCCATTTGCTCTCCAGTCAAAAAATAAAACTTCTCTATCTAGGAGAGATCCAGAATATGTAAAGAACTCTCATGTTCAACAACAAACCAAATAACCCAACTTTTAAAAGGGCAAAAGAACTGAACAGATGGTTCTCCAAAGGAGGGATGCAAAGAAGCCTGCAAAAGCCATGGCCCTTAATCCCTTTAATTTCAGCACTCCAGAACAGTCAGGCAGATCTCTCTGAGTTGGAAGCCAGCCTGGTTTATACTAGTTAGTGAGTTCGAGGACAGCCAGGGCTAAATAATGAAGAGACCCCGTCTAAAAAGAAAAAAAAAGAAAAAGAAAAAAAAAAGAAAGAAAAGAAAAAAAAACACAACAAAAACCCAGCCAACCAAACATGAAGCCTACAAAAGGCAACCAGTGTCGTCAGCCATCAAAGCCACAAGGAGACACGCTTCACACCCACTGGGATGGCTAGAATTAAAAACAACAATGAAAAAAACAGAATGTGTGCGGTGATGACATGGAGAAACTGGACCCCTGTACTTTTATGGGAGGGATATAAAATATTGTAACTACTTGGGAAAACATTTTGGCAGTTCCTCAAGAAGTATAAAGCAGAATTGCCTGAGGACCTGGCAATTCCACTTCTAGATAGGAACTCCCCAAGAACTGAAAACACAGATGTGTTGGGGGGTACATCCACAGTCACAGCGACATCACTAGAAATAACCAAATGGTGGAAACGACCCAAAGAGCCATCAACTGACAAACAGGTTCGCTTTTTTAACTGTTGTATAATCAATTCGGCCATAAAAAGAAGTGAAACACTGATTCATGCTACAACATGGATGAGCCTCCAAAAACACGCCACCGGATGAAAGAAGCCAGACACAAAAGGCCACGGAGCGCATGGTCCCACTTCTACAAGGAGTCCAGAGTAGGAAAATCCATGGAGACAGAAAGATTAGTGGTTGCCAGGGGCTGGAGGGAGGGGAGCAGGGAGTGACTGCTGAGTGGGTATGAGGTTTCTGGGGTGAGGAAAATGTTCTGGAATTAGACAGTGGTGACGGCTGACAGTTTTGTGAATATACCCTAAACCACTGAGCTGGGGGAGTTTCTCGGGATGTGAGTTATATTCAATAACAAAAAGGGGGCCTTCGTAGGCTCTGATCCCACACAGCCCCAGAGTCCCTAGTGATCCCAAGTGAGGGTGCCTTTCAGAAGGGGCCATACAGGCATTCCCTGGGAGAAATCGATGCACATGGCCAGAACAGAGAAATGAAGCGAGTCTTAAGGCTTATAACGCACCTTCCTAGTTCTTTACAAGAAAACAGTGTGAAAGTCTCCAAGCTCCCAGAAGCCTCTGCAGGAGCTCTGAATCCCTACCTCCACTTAGTCTGGGGCCTCCTTTCTAGATGCCAGGGCAGTTTAGTGGGAAACAGAGTCCCGGGTCTGTTCCTGACCCCTGCGGCTCACACCAAGCCTCTAACTGGTCGATTTCCAGAGAGGGGTAGAGGGTGAACGAAGCAAAGCCTCCAGAGGGTCTGTGTCTGTGTCCCCAACCCACATGTGACCTCCGACCAGCCTCTGGAACACAGGCCTGCAGCAGGCAGCAGCTCTGGAAGAAACTACTGGAACTGCCACCTGCTGATCAGCTCAACCGACTGGGATGCAAAGCTGAGCCAAGGGAAGAAGAGAGGGGAGCCCCTTCCCCATGGCTGGTGGCCAGCCTGGAGGGGTCCAGCAGCAGGGTGGCCAGAGGCCTCTAGAAGGGAAGGGCAGCCAGCGCTGTAGGGTTGGGTTGCAGCTCTGGGAGGGGGTGGGGAGGGCTCCTGTAGCCACGTGACCCTCCCCCGGGCCAGCCTCTCCTCTCTGGGTTCCTGGGCTGTAACTGGAGCCGTGTTCCTGCCTGGGAGCCTCCGTGCCAGGCAGAGCTTTGGAGAGGGGGAAGGGAGAGGAGAGCCCCAGATTCCAACTCCTTCTCCCTACTCTCTACTCCCTCTCTAGTTGGGAAGCACAGCACATTCTCACGGTCGCACCCACAGGCTCCCCCTCCAGCTCCAGGCCGCCAGGCCTTTCAGGGTTTCCAGACTCATCTCCTTCCTTGACTGAGGCAGGGGTGGGCCCCCCTGGACACAGAACAGCCTAGGACACACCTTGTGCCCCCAACAATACATACATACAACAACATCCAAAGAGCAACACTATACATACTCCCTCAGAGGTCAGCTTGAGAGAGGCCCAAGTCAGCTAGCCATCCTCCCAGGCTCTTGGTTCAACAGGTATCCACTCTGCTCATCTTTGGTCTATTAGAGTTCTTCCTCCAAACCAAGAAAGTGGGTCTCTATGGCAGCTGCCGGAGAAGAGCACTCGGCTTTCCTTGAGGAGTCCTTTGGGGCAGAGAGGTAGGAAGAGGTTGACCCAAGCCATAGCAATACTGATGTCTTCAGTACCTACCTGCTTGGGAGCCAGCTGCCCTGTGCTTAAACCCTGCCATTGAATCAAAGGGTGCCAAGACCCTTACAGCAGCCTAGCCAGAAGACTTCACCAAGGCACAAGGTCTAGAGACAACAAGAAGAGGATGAGAAAGAGACACTGACCAGGGGAAGTGCAGCCAGGACCCTAACCCCATCATCTGTAAATTCTGAATCCTGGGGCCACAAGGCCAGCAGCAAGAGATCCCAGAAGGAGCCAAGTGGCCGCCCATGCAAGCCCAGGGCGTGTCAGGAGCCCGGCTGGGCCAGAAGAGAAGAAGGCACAGCTGGCTGATGGGCTGCTGTGACTCACTGCGGACCTGTGGCCAGACGGCCATCCTCAGCCCTCCCTCTTGCCCGCGGGTGAGGCTTAGGGCTGCACAGATGGTGTGCAGGGGCGTGCCAGGCCAAGGCCCAGGGGCTGGATCCACAGTGGAAGCCAGGGAAGCCAGGGTGGGAGAGACCCTGGGAACCGAGACATGGAACTGACCCTGGAAGACAACCCAGAAGAAATGGATAGACAAGGAGAAACGAGGAGAAAGAAAAACACAAAGGGAAATTTTCCCATGAAAATATTTTATTTTCTTTGAGAACAGGATACACCTGCAGGGCTTCTCGGCCCAGCCGCCTCTCCCTGCCCTGGCCGGTGCCAGATTCCTGGACCAACGGGGCCCTCTGCCGGCCACAAAGCTACGAGCGGGCACCGCAGCCAGGGGCGAGGGAACAGGTGACCGGCGAAGGGCGGCGGCCCAAGAGCAGTTCAGGGCACCTAGGACCAGGGCTGCGACCTGAGGGGCCAACCAGGGCTCCCAGGGGGTCAGTGCGGGGGTAAGAAGCAGGGAGGGCGGAGAAAGCTGGGACGCTGGCTCTCATGGTGCCACCCAGGACCTCGGCGAACTCAAAGTGCAGAGGGTATCCCTCTAAAGATCGCTGGGTTCAGGCATCCCAGACCTGGGAAAGGAGTAGAAGGGGGAGGGACGAAAGGAACTAAAGGCGAAGAAACGCGCCCAACAACGCGGCAAAACTGCTAGCGCATAGACAAGCAAGTACCGGCGGCGACCCCGCGGGACAGCGGCGGCGATCACCCCCCGGGCCAGGTCTTCCAGACGTGTTCCCGAGGGCCGAGGTCGGAGCCGGGCTCGGGCGGGCGCCAGAAGAAAGCGCAAGAAAAATAAATTTCTCCAGCTTGGAGGGTTTTTTTTCTCCCCTTTGGGGCTCAGTGCAAGGAACATCTGGATTTTGTACGTGTTTTTTTGTTGTTGTTAAATTAACTTTTCCAGGAGAGAAGGGGGGTAGCGGGCAGGGGCCAGGGAGGCTCCAGCCTTTTGGCAGGAATACCGCGGCCTAAGGCGGCGGCGGCGACTCGGGAGTCACCGTGGACCGCGGCCCCTCGCAAGCCCGTCGGGGACACCGGCCCCTCTACCTCTAGGGCGCACGGCGGGCAACGACCTGAGGACCGAGAGGCGCGCTCGCTGCCAACTAACAATTCCAAGCCACCCGTGCACCCCGCCGAGCACCTGGCGGGTGCTGCCCCGGACTCGATGCCCCCGTCCGGCCCCGCCGCCCTCGCCCGCCCTCGCGCGGCCGCCCGCCGCGGGCACCTACCCGAAGTAGGCGGCCGAAGGGCGCAGCGCGGCGAGCAGCAGCGTCAGCCCGAAGGCCGCGGCCAGCCAGCGCGCCAGAAGGGACCCATCCAGCATCTTGCCGCGCCGCGGCGGCTGACCATCGCGCTCCGGGCTCCGCGCAGGGCGCGCCGCGACCGCCGCCCTCTTATAGCGTCCGCAGCCGCGGCCGCGGGGCGGGGCGCCGGCCAGCTGGGCCTGGCCCGCCCGCGCCCCGGAGGAGGGGTCACGCCGGCGCCGGGGGCGGGCCGAAACCCGAGCTGCGCGCCCGCCGCCGCCACCGAGCCGCTCGGCTCGCGGGGCGGGCCTGGGGCGCGCCGTGGGGAGGGCTGGGCACGTGGCGCGGTGGGAACCCCGGCCGGAGTAACGGGGCCAGGAGGAGCGGCGGGGCGGGGACCGGGTGGCCGAGCAAGGGTAGACCCCGGGGCTAGGCGTCTGCAGCCGGGACACAAGTGCGAGCTCCGGAGAGTCTCCCGACAGTTGGGGCCGGCTGTTGGCCGCCGCCGGGAAAGGCATCCGAGAGTCGGAGAAACTTGGACGACTGTGCTTGAGGGGTGGTGACTGGATGTCTTGGGGGCGATTTTAGCTACCGGATTACAGCGCTGGGGCGTAAATCCACTCGCCGGAGATGGTGCCAAGGAGGGAGCCACTGCTGAAAGCTGGGGTGCTGTGTGTGGCTGGAGGAATGGAAAAGCGACCCCTCGAGGGAGATCAAAGAGGCATTTCTGCAGAGCGGGGTTGTGGATAACATGGGGCGATATGGTCCTTAGGGTCCCTCTCACGACCAGCTGCAAATTTCACTGACACGGGGACCTCATCCCCCCCCCCCCCAAACAGGGCGGAAGATGAAGGGGGACTGCTGCTGACCGTGACTGGTGTCTGTGAAGCCCAGAGCTGTGACTCATCCTCATAGACTGCATCGTCTGATAAGTCAGACCTGAACTAAGATGCAGAGAAACACAAGTGCCCAGAGCACCCAGGAAGCTGCTTACAAGTTCCCTGAAAGGGGGATGGTAGGATTTATGCAGGGACATACTAAGCGCTGGAGAACGAGACTGAGGGGTTGGGTTCCTTGGGGACCCACCATATGTCAGCCTTCCATGCTCTAGATGCACTTCTGTGCAAGACAGGGACCTCAGGAGCCACTAACACCAGTGAGCCTCACTGACCTGGGCTTGAAGGGGCAAGCTCCACTCCGGTGGAAGGCAAACCTCCCTAGGGGCCAGCACCTTCTGAACTTTAAGGGACTGATTCTGGCTGAACGGAATTCCACAGCTAAGGACTGGAGCGCCTCTGAGAGGCTGGGCTGTCTAGCTGGGCACAGCTATGGCTCAGTCACCTGTCACAGGAAGGGTGCTCCAAAGGAACCAAAAGAGGAAATGAGAGGAAACAAATCACATCAGCCTCCACCGGGGCCAGAGCCAAGCAGGTTACTCCTGTGGGTGTGGACCACCCAAGCGAATATGTTGTGTCCTGACAGAAGTTTCCAGATGTGGTGGGTGTTTGGCTGGGTGAGGGGTGGAGCGAGCCCATCACTTCCTCTCTGAGCCTTGGTTTTCCCATCAAAGGCCCACTTTAGTGAGCAGTGTCTTCCACTCACGCTGTAGCCTGTACTCTGCCTTCCTAATGGGTGTGGCAGACTCGCATCACCCTCCCCCCATTGCTGGGAACCCTTCCTTCTCCACCCCACTTAGCCGTCCAGTGGTGCTTCTGCAGCAAAATGAACCCAGAAGGCAGCCCCAGCCTCCGCAGCTTTGGGGGCCTCGGCATCAGGGAGACTTCCACCTGGAGGCCTGGCTTCTGCTCCTGGGAAGAGGCAGGAGACTGGAGACCCCGAGCGATGACATATTTAAAGGCACGAGATTGCTTCCAAGAAAAATGATGTGTGAGATTGTAAACGAGTGTCGCCAGGCACTGCAGGCGATACAGACTCGGCGAGAGTGGAGCTGGCACCTCGGCCACCCAGCAAGTGCTGAGGAAGGAGGCAGCAGCCAGGCAGCCCAGCACAGAGAGGCCTGGTTTCAGCCCTCTGTGAAGATGGGGTGTTAATAAGGATGACCTATCTTTTAGATACTGAGGATCATGACAAGGGGAGGTAGGGGCAGCTTATCTCTGAGTGACCTGTCAAACTCAGAGCCCTGGCCCACCTCTAGGGGGCCAAGGCATGTGGGTGGCAGGATGCATGCCCGGCATAAGAACGCCAGCTCTGAGTGAGGGCTACCCCAACCTTCTATTCCCATAGATGGGGAGACAGCAGTGGATGGTGGAGATACCACAGCTGTCCCACCTTCAACAGAACTTGGGGAGACACGTGCCCCCAGCATACTCTCAAGCTGCGTGCTGTCTCACCCAGGGCTAGGGCAGCCTTGCTCCGCAACATAGCTGCACGGCACAGTGGCTCTTCTCTGTCCCTCACAGGTCTTTGAGGTGCTTCTTCATATAGAGCTCTGCCCTCCCACACACCCCCAAAGGAGCACCCCAGCCTACCTGTCCCTCTACATCTGCCCAGACTGCCACCAGTCAGCCCAGCACCGGGACAGGGTGGAGAGAGCACCTGCCTTGTGGAGATTCTGCCCCCCCCCCCCCATGTCAGTGTCTCTGTTGAAGACAGGTAGAAAGGAGGGACCACTGAGGAAGAGAGTGAAGAGGTTCAGGAAATAGAAGATTCTGGCGCTTTTCTGGTGTCGGTCAAAATGCAGTGCCTGAAGGAACCACGAAGCAGTAGAAAGTGAATCCCTAAAGGAGCCTTGCTGGGTAGGAAACTGAGTCTCCTGAGTTTGGTAGCACTCACCTGCCTAAGGTGCAGCAGGCGAGCAAGGGAAGCTTCCTCCCTTTCCAATTCCCTCCCATCTCTGCCCTCTTTCTTTCCTACCCTTCTTCCCTTTTCCCAGGTAGATGATCTCTTGGCTTTGCAGAGTGTGGGAAGGGCAGCCTGCTGGAGAAGGCCAGTCTCCTTCCAAATACTGTGCCCTGGTGAATGGCCAAGTGGCCCTCTGGTTTCCTTTTGGGTACAGGGCTGGAAGGCTCCCTCAGTGACCACCTGGGCCTATGTAGCCATCCAAATACAGGGCAGGGGCCAGATGCCACTGTGTTCACGACTGAGAGGAGCAAAAGTCTGGTTGAAGATCTGAGCTGAGTTCACAACTCTTTGTTGGATCATCTGGCGTGAGCTCACTCACAGGCCCAGAACCCCCAAGTTAAGGGATGATCAGGTTCCCTTGACAAAGGACCCCGCTAGCTTCCCAGCCTGCCTCTAGCTATTTTCCAAGGAGACCAGCCACAAAGGGAAAGGGAATGACCAGATATTTTCAAGATTACTGGGCTCAGTTTCTGAACTCACATGGATTCCCAGGGACCTGAAGGGTCGCGAATACAGGCTTGAGAGGGACAAGTGCCAATGCTGAGTTAGCTCCACCCACTTCACAGGGGTCCGTGGACCCCACGGGCATCCTGCTGCCATTCCTGCAGACCAGGGTTGCAGCAGCAGCAGGCCCCACAGTAGGCAGGAAGAGGTTAAAGGAGTGGGATTTGTCCCTGTCCCGTACACTCGCTAGCGTTTGGAACCAGGGGAGCCAATCTCGGGTGGTCTGGGAGGAGTGGGGCAAGGGGCCACTTATCAGGAAACACTGCCTAATTGAGAAGGTTGGGCAGGGGTCTCCCTGGGGGAGAAGTCAAAACCACGCATGAGTCATTTGAAATGAAGCTGGACAGAGTGTGAGGAGAAACGAACCCACCCAGATTGCCAGACACGGACAGAATGAGCTCATGGCTGTGATAGTGTGTGGTGGTGGTGGTGGTGGTGGCAGTGGTGTGTGTGTGTGTGTGTGTGTGTGTGTCTGTGTGTGTATGGGGGGGGAGAGGTGGAGAGGGAGAGAGAAGGAGAGAGAGGGAGAGAAACACAGCCACAGCCAAGCATGGGACGCTAAATTGCAAGGCCAGGCTGCCCTCTGCCGGTCAGTGAGAGAATGACCAGTGTCCCAACCAATGTCCTGGCTACCATCCCAGCCTGCATGTGCATACCTACTGTCTGGGCAGCACCCAGTCCAAGACCTGGCTTGGGACAGATGCCAGGCAAGAGGCAGACTTGTCGAGAAAAACATTCATCCACACCACTAAATCCTCTGGGAGACGAGTGTAAGAAATTTGTTTTTTTCCCCCCTTTATGTAAGACTTTTATTAAATTGTCTTTACAAAGCAATGTTCAGACTCCAGACACAACTCCCAGGCTCTGTTTTGCTGTGGGTATTGGCTGGGGCACAGAAAGTGGCTTCCAACTCTTCTGTTGTGAAGGTGGGGTCTCATTGCTTGTTTTCACAATGCTTGTGTTACCAGGCAGGAACTTCTCAGTCTGGCATCGTGCACTCCAGAGAAGGATGAGCTCTTCTTTGATGCCCAGAACACTTGGCTGAGCACACGGTGATAGCGGTGTAGACAAGATAGGCTCTCCACTGTGGATCGCCAACCCTCATGGCCTCTGTCCTCAGAGTTTCCCCATCCCAACCTCAAAGCCCTTGGCTCTGCCCTCTTTGGCGACCCACAGAACACTATAACCCAGAAAACCCCTTCCATGATCTTCCTTCCTTTCTTCCTTCCTTCCTTCCTTCCTTCCTTCCTTCCTTCCTTCCTTCCTTCCTTCCTTTCTGTTGTTGTTATTGCTTTGCTGGCCTTGAATTTGCTATGTAGCTAAGGATGATCTTAAATTTTCATCTTGCCAACTCTCTTCACACATGCTGGGATTAGTTGGACATCGTGCCAATATATGCAGTTCTAGGCACTGAATCCAAGGCTTTGTGGCATGCTGGGCAAACACTCTGTCAATGAATTTCTCTACCCCCTCCAGATCCCATCTCTTCTTCTTCCTCTTCCTCCTCTCCCTCTTCTTTGTTGTTGGTTTTTTTTTAAAAACAGGGTCCTGTGTATCTCAGGCTGGCCTTGAACTCCTGAACCTCTTGCCTTTACCTCAGATGTGGAAATTATAGCTTTGCATCACTCTTCTCAGCTTCATCCCAAGAGTTTCTGACTGTGGGGCGGTGGTGGTGCACACCTTTAATCCCAGCACTCAGGAGGCAGAGGCAGGAGGATCTCTGTGAATTTAGTTCTCCATGGACTCCGGGCACACGCGTACTGCAAATCATATATACAGGCAAACACTCAGAAGA